CTACAGAGAGAGAGAGAGAGAGAGAGAGAGAGAGAGAGAGAGAGAGAAAGTCTGTACTAATCGATATGGTGCCGGAGATTGCCAGTCCCCATAGATCACCTTCGCGCAGCACTTCAGCTAAACGGCGCCTGACGTGAGGGATGGAAAAAAAAGAAAGGAAAAAAAGACCGAGCCCTCCCCACCTCCCCTCTCCGAAGAAAGCTGTTGCTGGGCTGCTGAGAGACAGCTTAATTTGTTGTCTGTTGCGCTGAAATGTGGGAGCCGCTTTGATTTTGTATTTCTTGTCACAGGAAATCCTACGACCCTTCTGTTGTGTTATTGCGTCCGTAGCTTCTGTTCGAGAAGCACCTGAAGAGCTTAGAATAGGCCGTAAGCGTTAGCAGCTAAGGCCTCTGTAGGAATAATTATGTAGCTAAGGAAGTGCTCCTTTTTAAAAAAAATGCGTTAGCGCCATATTGTGCACGATGCCTCTGTGATTGTTGTTTCTTGGATGTATTTATTTTTCACTGCTCGCTTTCCAGTTCTCGAGAGGCTTTGTTATGGTTGAGTAAAAACACCGATTTTCCGGACTTCTACCGAACACGAATGACGTTTCTGAATTGAATTATTATGTACACATATGTTTTCTACCGTACCGATGGTGTTACAATTGTAAAATAATGTGCATGTAGGGTAGTTTTAATTCGCCAGTTTGATGTCACCGACTCAGTCTACCGGTAGTCGCACGCCTGTTCCGCAAGCAGTGGTTAAAAATGTTAAAGTGGAGTTGATTACTTATGTCGTGGGGCTTCCAAAGCGTGTGAGTGGTGGACAATTTTCCTCTTAATTGATTCTTCCACCCAGCAGGGTTACGTGCCGCCTGCTGCCTGCGCCGTTACGGGGCTGGTAAATTGGCTTACACACAACAAGTGTACATTGCTTACATTTTTCTTCTTTTTTGTCTGTAAAAAAGTGTGAATTTTTCTACATTGATTTATACACTAAGAGACATTTTCGTCCTATCCGATCTCTGCAAAGTTACTTTGTTCCTGATTGAGTTTTAATGGAGGGGAAGCCTTTAATTGTAAGTAGCTTTGTAAGGTTCTATTTGTTTGCAGATCTGTCTGTCTGGAAATGGTTTCCTTTTATAACTTGAAAGTGTTGCTCGTGCGCCTTTTTGTGAGTAGCCAGACGGCCTTGCCTTGTTTGTACGTGATTTACTCGCGGTCTGAGTGCGCTTTGGTGCTTTTATTTACGTCCTGACTCGCGTGTGTGTAAAAAGCTTGAGGTTAAAGAGCTTGCAAAGCTGTGCATTAGCGACACGTTGTTTTATCGTTCCTTTCCTTTTCTATTCAGAAATTGAGTGGGTACTGAATTTATGAAAAGTTTGCCAATGTGTATGACTGAGGACACACTCAAACTCGGACCACAAACAATAATTGTTGGACTTTCATCTGTCTGCGAATAATATGAGATTTACTGTAAGCCCTTGATTTCCTCAGGATTATTACGTACTGATGGATTGCTTTTTGCCACTGAAATATGTTATGATGATTTGATGATTTACTGTTTGCCTGTGGTACAATTCGTAACATGTTCACGGATTACTGTGTTCCTTGAGATTGTGTCGTGAGATTGTGAAGGATTGCGATCTGTTGGTGGATATCAGCGCACTGTTGTGATCAAACGTGTTGAATATTGTTGCTTTTGGTGCCCTTTCTGGGTAGATTTTTCTGAATGGTTTATCTATCGTGATTTTCACCAATGGATTTCCCGAAGGCCGGCCGTGACTGTGGCCGTGTGTCAGTACTGTCTCGGTATATCATGTGCACGTACAGTGGCGGCGGCAGCTGTGAACCTGACTGTTGTAGTTCGTGTCCCAAGGACGACACCACCTGTCGCCACCTGCTGCGCCTCTCCATCAGCCAAAGTGTGTTCGATCGTACTGCTTGTGTGCCCGCAGGATATTAAACCATACCCTACCCCACCCCCTCCCATCCCTTCCCCATTTTTCTCAACCATCAGCACCATTACCACTCTCACCACCACTACTCTGCCCCATTTTACCTCTATACTTTCCCTGCCCGTATCCCTATATTGATATAATACTGCCCCATTAGGTCTACCCTCCAACTGACCTTTTTGTGTCTAGTAGGGAGGTAGAGTCATAGACAAACTGAAACCAACATCTCATGGTCAGTCCATCTGTCCACGACTCAACACCCTTCCCCCTCCTCCGCCCCCTTTCAGCTCTCGGTAACACCGCTTGTCTAGTCTGACCACTCCCTCTATTCCTCCCACCATCTCACATCCAGTTGGTTAGACCCCACTATTATCATTACACCCCAACATGTCTCAAAGGCTTGCAGACGTGACAGACTCACTCATTCTGAATGCGCCCGGCCCAAAACAACAACAACAACAGCAACAAGAACAGCAACAAGAACAACAGCCCAATCAGCAAACACAGCAACAACCACAACAACAACAAAAATCTGCTGCTGCTCAGCATGTCAACAGAAGCGCGTCCTCCGGACAGCACCATTCTCCTGTGAGACAACGGTTTCAGCAGCAGCAGCAGCAACGACAACAGCAACAGCAACCACCACACTCCCCGCCCCAGCATGCTGCCCTGAGTGGAGTAGGGGGTGTGGCCACAGCTGACCGGAAGCCCGGCTCGCCCCCTACCGGTATAGTGCAGGCCCGCGCGGCCGTGTTCAGCAAAGTGAAGCCAGAGGTACCCCCAAGGCGATCCAGGTAAAAGCGTCAAAACTCCCTTGGTGGTCAATGTCGTGTGCATGCTTTCACGTGAAATTTATGCAGTCTTTGACTGCCAGATATTAAAAACAATCACCCTTACCAACGATCAGTTCCCACTTCTCTCTTACGTATTTTTCTGTCATAATGGTATTGTCCAAGAAGACCTCCTGTCTAAAACGAACTCTTCTTTCCTTGAAAATTGGACAGGTTCGGCTATACTTTGTTCTGTCCACCTATCCATAGAGATCTACCTGTCGTGTCCCTGTACTTGCTATCACTCCAGTAACCAAAAAGTTTTACCTGTCCTCTTAATCACCCCC